AAGTGAAAATCAGCTCGAAATTCATTGATCAAAATAAATTTAAGAATTTTTTATGATTCATCAATTTTTATGGTGTATAAGTCAAAGCTTTTGTTTGTCTAATTCAAACCTTGATCTCTATGCAATGCAAAAGCAAAAAAAATGAAGTTTAGATGCTCAAGAGTTATTTTTTCAAGATTGAAAGATATTTTGTTACACAAGTGTTACAATCATATTCAATCTATAAAGTTCACTATGAATGGATGATAATTAGATATTATTCTCTATCATAAAAAAATTATCACACAATGGAAGTATAAGAACTAATCATTCTATTGGCAACAAAATACAAGAAGCATTTATTGAAAATTGATGATGGAGGTCGATTGTAAATCATTGATTTATCTAAATACACATGAAGATTTGTCTAAATGCTAAATTTGATGAATTTGATAGACATCAACACTTCAAAATAAAGATTGAGTATATAAAGATTAAATTTAGCAAAATGACACATGTCACAAAGTAGTATGAATAAATCATGAGAACATTACAAGTTGTGAAGACAAAGAAGTCTTAAGGTTTGTCTTTTCATAAACCACTAATATGAATTTTGCAAGATCAATAATCATACACAATGATTTTATCAAAAATTTATGAAATAGTCATAGCAAACTATACGGATATGATTCAAACATTGGATAGCAAATAACAAGCGTACAATTGATCCAAAGTAGAAAAAATATGAAATATTATTTTTGAAGTTATGTAACTTGTCAACAAAACAAAGCAAACAATCAAAATTAATTGGTTTTTTTCTCTATTTTTATTTCAGATCAAAGATGAACCCTTGTCATCATGGACATGATGTGTGAATTAGAAAAAACTTAGTTAAATGATTAAATTGTGATTTTGTGTACAGATTGAAGAAGTTGATTCATATCAAACCAATCATAAAAATAGTGACGGATTCATATTACTCAATTGTATATAGATGCAATTTTAATGAATCATGATTAAAAAAAATCTTAAATAATCATAAAAGTACACATTTCGCTAGTTTATTTTTTTAAATTTTATTTAGTATGTTAAAAAAATCAATGATTTGAATGGTTGGTCATGTGATCATGTTCAAACTCATGATCAAATGGAAAAAGCCAAAAGAGTTGTAGAGTATATGCTACAAACACATTAAGTAACAACAAGAGTATAATGTTTTTTTTACTCATGTGGAATAATAATTCTGTTGATGCAGTAGAAAGAATTTTCTATATTATTTCATGTTGTTCATGATGTTCTATGCATAACTTCATCAAGTTTGATGAGGATTTCAAACTAAGAGTAGTATTTAACCAAAGTAATTGTAATCAACAATTTTGTTGATGTTGATTGCTAAAAATTGACAAAAACAAAATACAGAGTTGAATTTTTTTTAAAAATCTTGTTTAATCATCTACAAAAAAAAAATATGTTATAGAAATATCAAAGTTTAATTCTAATTTATTCGCACTTTTGTGATATTTAAACGTGGTGATAAAATTCTCATACAAGTTAGAGCTTTTGTAACATATTGAAATGCATTTTGTATTTTATGTGTCAAATTGACAAAATGTATACCATGATCAAAATGATTCATCATGAAACTAACACCAACTACTTTTTTAAACTTGATAATTCATCATGAATAATTTGAGATAGAAGATATATTCAAGAAATAGATTCAAATTCATACATGTATCAAAATAGAAAATTTGATTCAATACAAAGTATATACATTATATGAATCATATTAAGATTAATTCAGAAGTCTAATTCATGTATTTTTGATAATTAAAATTTTTAAAAGATGTGAATTGAGTTGTGAAATGAAAAGTCTTGTAACATCTAAATTAAGTTGATATAAAAGTTAAGTTTATACAATATGGAAATGTAATTATGTTGTAATGAATCATCTATACTTTCTATGTCAACAATCCATAAATTTAATAATTATAAAATAATGTTAACACTGACAAATCATGAATCATTCTAATTTCAATAGAAAAATTGAATGTATTAGTCTAAATATATCTTAGAAATAAAATATAAACATCTTTCGTATGCCTAGAACATGTTTGAATTGTTATACATTGTTGTGTGTTATTATTTTTATAATCATATCATGACTTCAATGATTTTTATAATATTTTAATTAATTTATTAATTTATTTGAGATCATTTAATGCAACGATTTTTCAATATATTCATGGTGGATTGAATTGGGAATACATCTAAAATTATCCCATGTTTATATTTGAACATTAATCTTTATTTATCATTTGATTTTGGTGAATCCAGATAAAAAAAAATGTGTCAGAGAATTGTCGAATTTTGGAGAAAACAGTATATAAAATTTTGAAGAATCGAAATCATGACTTAAGAATATTAAATATTACAAATGCATTGAAATATATTTGATAATAGATGGACAAGACATGGAAATTTTTATGACATCCAACTAAATTTCTGCATACTCTCCAAACACTCTCTACTTACATTTGCTTCTAGCAACAGTAAGAACAAATTTGCTCTTCAACTCTTAGAAAAAATTTCAAACTCTAAGTTGTACTGGTAACTTTAAACGGATTTACTCTCTAGCTATGAGTGTACCTTCGAATACGTCCCACGCCTTCATCCCTATGGAATAAAATGTTCAATCGTAAACCAATCGAGGGGGAAAAGCCTTTCACTCTATTGCTTCATGCTATCGACTCTCAAAATAAGAAGTTCGAGGTGGGAACAAGGTGTCAACAGGATGGTTATGCTTGATCTTCGTAGGTTCCAAGATAAATTTCGTTCGTACCTCTGGGTCTCTTGCATCGTTCACAACATTTACACTTTTATCAGTTGAACTCAACTGAGCCTGTTTATAACTGTCTTTTCTCTCAAATCTAAGAAATTTTTATTAACCATGCGCGCCCGGTCAGACAGTGTATCTGTAATCACATGCAACATGGATTATCGTGATGTGACTTCCTGAAGCGAGAGATTTGCTTGATGGGAACCTTCAGGTTTCATTTTACCCAATGGGACCCATGAACGATGCACCGTTACCTATGTTCTAATAACAACAAGAGAAAATGCAACGAATCCACCGCACCCGCAGACAGAGTGGACTTCGCACTCCATCACACTCACTTGTTTTTATGTTGTCATTCTGTATCCGGTCACTCTCCAAGGAGACGAGCAAAGAAATGTTCATCCAGAATTTATTTGTTTGCCACAAATGGGTGAACGCGAGATTTGAGCTCGAACCACGCAGGGTTACGGAAGGAGTGTGCAGGTGGGAGGTAACAGAGAAATCCACGAATCTTTGCGATCGGAAGAATTGAAGCACAACAAATTGCACTTTGAGCAAAATCAATCTTTGTCCCAGTGATAATCCACCAGAAATTATAATCAGTGATCTCTGATTGTAATCCCCGCATTGTAACTATAACTAGTAGTAATCGTAATTACAAAAACTATGTCCGACGGCACACCGTCATTGGGGTCCCATCGGGTAAAACTAAACCTGAGAGGTCCCATCGAACAAATTACTTTTCGCATGGGTCCCATCAAGCAAATCTCTCTTCCTGAAACCTTCCAATGTATTGTATCGTCATATCGTCTCCGGCACTAGTAAGTTCGAGGTAGTAACAAGGTGTCAACAGTGTAGTATCTCTGTTCTTCAGGTTTGAAATTTGTTGGTATCTTAAGGGTCTCTCGGATCATTCACATCACTAACACCTTTTCCAATTGAACGTAACTGCAACCGTCATCAGCGACTTTTCTTCTACAGTTTTCGTTATGTGAGGTAGTCATTCCTCTTATGTCTACGAACATTCATTCAAGAACACTCACTTACACAGTACACCCGTATTAACATGCAACAAGAAGTCTCGTGATGGGAGTGATAAGCTGGCAGTCGTCACTGATGATTCCATTTCACCAATCTCACGTTCTCGACATGGTGCACTGATGCGAACCCTATTTGGCTAGGAAGCGCATGTCGAGAGTCGAGTTGTGAGGCATGAGGAATTCTTGATGGTATCATCATTACACGAATAAGAATAGCAAAACGATCACACTGGGGTAGTGACTTCATTTTGGAGTCCACGACGGTGTCGAAGGCAAATCTACGCTCTAGACATGATATTCTTATCCTTATCTGGCAAGACTAATCGTGCCTAGAGAATGTTGAAATCGATCCAGAACGAATTCAGACACCACCAACAGCTGTTGCCTAGCATTTCCAGCGCAGAGGAACGACTCGGCTCCAGGCTAGAGGAGATCAGTTGCCATTCTTTCTCGCACAGGTTTCAATAGACAATCTTCACACAAACCGGGTGAATCCATTTGTTTTGTCTCAACCAGTAACAACAAACTTCTAGCGAGTCACAAATTGGACACGAGACTCGAACCCGAAAACAACCCCGTCCAAGCAGATAGAGGGACAACAAATCACTTCCAGGTCACCAGGAACGTTTACAATTATATAAGAACTGAGGCGACATCCGGAGCACCTAAACGTCGAGAAAGGTACTGACCACTACGTATACGACGACAATAAACAGAACTTTCGACATCACAAATGGTGACTAATAGATGAAGTTAGGTAACACAAAGACCTAAAGTAGCCATTACTCTTCTTTCCTCCAACCAATGCTGCACTTCGGTAGACAGGGTAGAGAACAGATAACAATCTATGAACCAGGCAATGGAAAGCAAATTATCGAAAATTGGGAACAAACGGAGGGTACTTCACAAAACACCCTGAATGCATTCCCACCAGGGTGTACATGAAGGCTGAAACCTACTTGGGTGCATTATCATAGTTCATAAGGAAGTTAGAGCATATCTCCTAGGCAATTGCAAGCTGCTGGAAGCAGCTAGCGGGCATACTGCGGAAGGCTCAACTCTTGACAAAAGACAGAAGCTAAGGTGCGCAAAGTACTCCCATGATACAACCTCCAGACTCTCATCGAAGACAAAACTATTTAAGGCGAGCCACAGATGCAACCAATAGGCATCCGAGTAAAACATACTTGATAACGGATCTCCTGGTACAAATAGGGTGCAATTCGATTACCACTCTTCCACTAGTTCCAAATCAAGTGACTTCTTAAACTATCTTGAATTGAGAACCAAACATGCCGCGACTCTTCTTTCGGACGGTAGTCAGAAAGATACTATCCCACATTCTTGCAATGCCGTGGTGACTAGTCACCATGCTCGCCTCGCGAAGGCTTCACTCACTTGTTCTAGTAATGACATTTCAATTATAAGGTTTCATGCGCCCTCTAGTCAGACAGTCCAATGGACTGAAAGAACAACTTCAGCGCTTAATCACGACAATGATTGTGAAGCAACCCTGCTCTTAACTACCAACAGTACTGCTGACGGACCCAATTGGAATGTGCATGCGCACAGATGCCAGAGTTGCCTCTGCACTGCCTCCTTCCTTTCTTCTCCCTAAATTATCCGAACGACGCAGACACACTGTTCAACAACTTAACTCGGAACATAGAAGTTGACATACCGACAAACCCCAATCAAACTCACGACAAGGGCACTGCGGGTGGGGGTAATTTTTCGTGGGACAAAACTTTTATCCGAATTTGTGTTACATGTGTTCGGAAGAATACTCCCAAAACTTAGGGCCCGTGAACGTGTGCTACTAAGCAAACCTCTCCCCTGGTATTCTTTGAAGACATACTCACGCCGCAGCCTTGGATGCTCCTGCACGCTTTCGTGCCTCCTCGACAATAGACAACTTAATACCCTTACCCCTTGGAAGGGTGACCCATGGCTTGGTTGCCAGGCCGATGGTAAACACATTACCCATACGGGTAGCGAACTGGTGTCCTGCAGAGTCGGTGACATGGATGATGTCAAAGCTGCCCTTGTGCTTTTCCCTGTGTTGGATCACTCCGATACGGCCTCTGTTCCTTCCCCCGGTGACCATGCAGAGATTGCCAATGTCGAACTTTATGAATTCGACAACCTTTCCTGAGTCGATGTCAATCTTCACGGTGTCGTTCACCTTGATGAGAGGGTCGGGGTATCTGATGGTCCGTCCATCGTAGGTGCTGATGTAGGGCACACCCTTGTCTCCGAACTGGGCAGCACGGACCTTGCACAGCTTGTACTGAAAACCAAACAACCTCAACTCAGTACATTCCCAACGCTACAGGCCCGCATGGAACCTCCTACCCTTGAACAGCAATGACTTCGGTTTGATGCAATGCATGGGTTTTGATCGAAAGGTACCTTAGCTTCCTCTGCGCTGATGGAGTGCAGAGTGAATCGACCCTTGCTATCGTACAGCAGGCGGAAGTTCTCATTTGTCTTGGCGATGGAGATTACGTCTGATAATTAACAGCCGAATGTCAGAAATGCATGTCGACTGCGACTGATACTTGCAAATTTAACTCCTCTCGTTAAAAATATTCCACTCTTACCCATGAAACCGGCAGGGTAGCACTTGTCAGTGCGGACCTTTCCGTCGATCTGGATAAGTCTTTGCATGACGATAGCAACGACTTCACGGTAGGTCAAGGCGTACTTCAACCTGTTCCTCAACATGACCACCAAAGGCAAGCATTCTCTCTCCTTGTGGGGTCCTGACGATGGCTTCGGGGCCTGAGACGAGTTGAAATCGAAAGTTAGAGCTCATTTCGATGGAACAGAACCAATCACGATGGCACATTTGACGAGGACTTGGAATAGACATCTTCTCACGCTAAAACTTGAGAGCTTGACAGAATGGAACAGAGCAGAATAAAACCGTTCCATCGAGAGCAATTTCAAGAAAGAATGATGAAATAAGGTACAAGGTAGTGTTGGGAAACTCACGAAAGCTCCACCGAGCTTGTCGAGCATCCAATGCTTGGGCGCATTGAGCCTCTTCAAATGCTTCTTTAAACCTCGAGCCTGTGGACACAATTATTTGGTTCATTCCCCACGAATCAGTGAACGCAACACTGAGTTCAGAACACTAAGCCAATAAATTTTTTGGTTCGACTCCAAAACCCTAACCACTGTGAGAAGAAATGACGACGAGAAATCCTTGGGCCACAACAACGATCGAGGACGGTGTGATTCCATGCGTACCATGATGGCAAACGGTAAACGAGCTTCAGCTGCGCGACAGAGACAGCGACGAGAAAGAGAAAGGAAATCGAGAGTGCCGATGGAAAAGAGTTGGAGCAGGTCTCTGAGAACCCTAAATGTGGATCTCCGATTGAGGCGGACTCAGACTCAGAGCGCTAGGGCTTCCCGACTACGATGGACCCATCGTCCTCGTTCTCGGTACGTGGTACCCTAAGACAGTGGGGAACCACGTACATAAAAAAATAGATTTTTGTTCCATGTTTTAATCCTCAATAATATGAATGTGCAGATGCACCATTTTGAAAATGATTTAATATATGATTTCATAATCTAAATTATTCTTGATTTAAAATCTTGACTGGTTGTAATCAATGTACATCAAACATTGGCAGTGTTGTATTCACAAAAGAGAATTGGTGCTTTTACCAAATAAAATGTATCATGTACGCAATTGGATTTCCTTATCGTTCGTGCATGCAGACAACATAATTCCATTATTCTATAATTAGTGCTATGAAAGGTCTTGTTACAGTGTAAACAACAGATTCAAGATGTATATATTTTGAACATGAATAGTCTCACAAGCTAGAAACAATTCTTTCATTATGCTTCTATATCCAGCGTTATAATGTTTCATCTCATTATATTTTTATTACATAATGTTTTTAAATTAATTTTTATATCTGGCCTTGAAAACATACATCTTATTAATATACTATTTAGTATATATATTAATATCATCTACATTAAAAGGCTTGTTAAAAATTTCACCATTATAAAATTTATTAGATTAACAGTAGATAATTGATCATATTATTGGTTCAAACATTATTTTCAGGTAACTTTATCAATTAAAAAAATTAAATTTTCCGATAATTTATCAAGCTAGTAAAGGTCATTTGAGTATTTGAAATGAGAACAAATTGAAAGTAACTTTTGAGACATGTTGTGAATATTTGCCAACGTTCATCTTCAATAATCTGGAGATGAAGAAATGAATTTTTTAATTATTATTAAACTTTTGTATGAAGTAAAATTCTCAAAAATCATATTTAACATTGAAAGATAAATTTGATTGTTTTGCAACCAATTATGTTTCATTGCCAAAAAAAATCAAATTAAATAAAATATCAACTCATGAGATGAAATATATTATACAAGATTATTATTTTCCAAAATTTCAAAATATGTTTTTTGAGAAGGTAAGCTTTATCATCACATCATTTATAACATATAAATTATATGTATTGCTTTATCAAAGACATAATGAATAAACTACATAGTTCTCAGCACCTTCCTCGCTTATAGTACCCTTGCTTTTCTTAATTTGGCATTTCATCCATATGGAAGTTTCAACTCAGCGAGGAATAAACCGGACTGAAGTGTACTTGAACAGAAGTTCGAATTGTGTACTGTACCTGCAGTGGGCCGAGAAACAGTGTGACCTAGTCTCAATCAACTGCATGAACCAAGAACAATACAACGAACAAATTAACAGTCTGTTCGCATTTGAGGTCTTCTGCTTCACTGTGATGATCATTTATGCATCTTCCAAGTAAGTTCATAATGTCTCATCTGTCTCATGTCATGTCAGTTTACTTGCAGTTTCGTCTAATGTTATAATGAAATAAAATTCCTCTTTTTTGCTTCAAGCCTTTCCTGATGTTCCATGTGCAAATGTTGCCTCAGCATTACCTACGTACGCTCCGGTATGGATGACTGCCAAATATTGAGGTACACATTGTGGCCTTCGTTCGGCTGGAAGGACCACCTTCGACCTTTGGGCTGAACGAACAACGGCGTCTGGGAATTCGAAGCGGAGCGAACAACAGAATCTGAACGAAATACCTTTTGGTAAAATGTTAAGCTGAGTTGCTTGAGTTGTTGAGGTTGCATCCGATAGGTACATTTATACTAACCCTATTGTATACGCAACTTTCGGTTACAAAAAAAACCAATACAAGTTTCGAATTTGAAACTTTTTCAAATTAACATACAACTGACATCAATAAGTTGAACACAAGGAGTTCAAAACATATTTGTGCATTTCTTAGTGTGAAGTCTATCTCGCATAACAATATACGCAAAAACTGGAATCTAAATCGAAATAATCTGGGTTATATAGTGCGAGTGGTGGGCAAATAAGGAGATGGAGCTGGAATTTTGCATTTAGACACTCATCTATATGTGTCACAACGTGGATATTACGATGAAGATGAAACGATGTTTTCACTGGAACTTGTAAAAGAACCTGTTCTTAGGATTTGGCAACAAATTAACGAACAATCTCAGGGACGGCTCATACGTTACAATTTGTGCGCTTATGCAATAATTACAGCTGAAGAATATGCCGGGCATGTGTTTAGCCTCATCTTATTGGGAATTTTTTGATGAAGCCATATCCGTTTTCAATGTCTTTCTCTTTAAGCAGTTTATTAAGATATATTTTTTTTCCTACTTTCTCGCTTTGTGAAAGGATAGCAGAGATAAACGAAAAGCGCTGGATCGCCTGTGCTACATTTTGTAAACCGAGTACCAAGTAGATTCATCTTATATGCTCAGACCATTTCCTTTTTCCCAGTCAGACTTCTCTCAAACTCAAGATACATCTTGACGTTGTGTACACAACGTTGTACACCACAGCGTAGTGTCGTAATGCGTAGCAACGTTGTACACTTTCTTTGCCTTGACAAAGGAAAGTCGTCAGAGGGAGGTACACTGGATCAAATGAAGTGGTTTTTCCCAGTCCACGAAATTTTCTATAGACTGTACATGTGGGAAAATTGACACTTGTATCTATAGACAGTCAAGAAAGTCAACAAATTTTCTCCAGATCGCAATCTAAGGGTCATCAAGATCAAATAATAGACATTGTCGACCAAATGGTTCTGACTACTAGTCAAATTTAGAAATAAGCTTCTTTTTTATACATCACATCGTAAACTTTCAGATTTGATACGCTGATATGATTTGCCGTAAACAATCTAATTCATATTAGAAATTGTGGTGTAGAACTCCGCCGAAAAACCTCCAAAAATTCTTTTGTAAAATATCCTATTAGTCGTATCAAGTACAGTACAAACGTACATTGTTGCCCTACACACCTAAGACTGCTTTCTTCTCCAAGAAATGTCATTCACTGGGTCTTGTTTTGTCGAAAGTGGATTTGTCATTGACCTTACTAAATACGAAGATAAAACGTAATCTCCTGACATTTCTCTCTTGGCTCCTTTAGATGTTAATATTCAAAATTCACCGTGTTGAAGTTTCTCTAGATTTATTTTCCAAACAAGTTTAGGTTTGGATCTTTCAACCAAACAGCCCCAAGTTGTGTTTTCGAAATCACAAGCTGTCAAACTCAAGCTATCAAAGGACTGACTTTCAAGACCTCTTAGCTTCCAACAGCCTATACCTGAATATTTAACGTGACATGCACATCAAAAGAATTCACACATGTGAGTTTCAAAAGGCGGGTGTGTGTATATACATAGAACGCTATATAAATCAAGAATATTAAAGTATGAAATTCGAATTAATTTTTTATTTAGAATGGTGCCTCTGCACATGTATATTATTTAGGATTAAAACATGGGAAAAAAACCCAGTGTTTATGTACGCGGTACCCCACTGTCTTAGGGTACCACGTACCGAGAATGACAACGATGGAACCATCGTAGTCGGGAAGCCCTAGCGCTGTGAGTCCGCCTCATTTAGGGTTCTCAGAGATCTGCGCAAACTCTTTTCCATCGGCACTCTCGATTTTCTTGCTCTTTCTCGTCGCTGTAGCTGTCGCGCAGCTGAATCTCGTTTACCGTTTGCCATCATGGTACGCATGGAATTACATTGTCATCGATCGTTGTTTCGGCCCAAGGATTTCTCGTCGTTAATTTTTCTGACAGTGATTAGGGTTTTTGAATCGAACGTAAAAATTCATTGGCTTGGTGTTCTGAACTCAGTGTTGCGTTCACTGATTCTTGGGGAATGAACCAAATTATTGTGTCCACAGGCTCGAGGTTTGAAGAAGCATTTGAAGAGGCTCAATGCGCCCAAGCATTGGATGCTCGACAAGCTCGGTGGAGCTTTCGTGAGTTTCCCAACACTACCTTGTTCTTGATTTCTTCAGTACTTTTTGAAATTGCTGCCGATGGAACGTTTCTTATCTGTTATGTCCAGTCTGCTGAGCTCTCAAGTTCTAGCTAATAAGATGTCCATCCCAAGTCTAGCTGTCAAATGTGCCATCGTGATTGGTGTTGTTCCACCAAACTAAACTCTAAGTTTCGATTTCGACTCGTCTCAGGCCCCGAAGCCATCGTCAGGACCCCACAAGGAGAGAGAATGCTTGCCTTTGGTGGTCATGCTGAGGAACAGGTTGAAGTACGCCTTGACCTACCGTGAAGTCGTTGCTATCGTCATGCAAAGACTTATCCAGATCGACGGAAAGGTCCGCACCGACAAGTGCTACCCTGCCGGTTTCATGGGTAAGAGTCGTGCTAGTTGCGGAATTTTTTTGAAAGAGAGGAGCTAAATTCGCAAATATCAGTCGCAGTGGGACGCACTTTTGACATTCGGCTGCAAATTCTCAGACGTAATCTCCATCGCCAAGACGAACGAGAATTTCCGCCTGTTGTACGATAGCAAGGGTCGATTCACCCTGCACTCTATCAGCGCAGAGGAAGCTAAGGTACCTTTCGATTATAACGCATGCATTGCATCAAACCAAAGTCATTGCTTTTCAAAGGTGGGAGGCTCCATGCGGGGCTGTAGCGTTGCGAATGTATTGAGTTGAGGTTGTTTGCTTTTCAGTACAAGCTGTGCAAGGTCCGTGCTGCCCAGTTCGGAGACAAGGGTGTGCCCTACATCAGCACCTACGATGGGCGGACCATCAGATACCCCGACCCTCTCATCAAGGTGAACGACACTGTGAAGATTGACATCGACTCAGGAAAGGTTGTCGAATTCATAAAGTTCGACATTGGCAATCTCTGCATGGTCACCGGGGGAAGGAACAGAGGCCGTATCGGAGTGATCCAACACAGGGAAAAGCACAAGGGCAGCTTTGACATCATCCATGTCACCGACTCTGCAGGACACCAGTTCGCTACCCGTATGGGTAATGTGTTTACCATCGGCCTGGCAACCAAGCCATGGGTCACCCTTCCAAGGGGTAAGGGTATTAAGTTGTCTATTGTCGAGGAGGC